TGAGCAAAGCTAGAGAACTTTCGTAGTGGGACTGTTTCTAGCCGACCCTGTGCTGGATGAAATTTTACTTTTTCCTAAGTCAAGGAAGGATGTTATTCGGCTTACCCTTTCGTGGGAAATGGGCAAGGAACTGGGCTACTCCGTCCGCCCCGATTTGAGGAGCTCGTCCATCTACTGGTCACTCGCCCACCAATTCCGACGTTTCACGGGATGGCTAATGAATTCCTAATAAATAATATACCTTTGTTAATTTATTCATTATGTTATTTATATTACGTTATCAAAAGCAAATACAAGGTCAAGTGAGAATTTACGGAGAAGGATATATTCCAAGGATATATTATTAATGAAATAATATGCAGCAAAGGGAAAAGGAAGCCAGTGCACTCACAGACACGCATTCCGGACATGCAAAAAATAATACAAACAACAGATGGTCTTGTGTGTGTACCTCCTCAACTCAAAACCGCATTTGTAAACGTGTATCTCGCCCACCACAGTATGAGTTTATTTATCGTGGAACACATCTAATTCTGGGTACTGAGCTATCATCGAGTTCATGAGACCCATCGCTCTTGCCGTTGGTGCTGCAGCACCTCGCTTTGTGCGTACGCCTGGTGGCATAGCAAATAATTACACTTATATTCATCGTACCGACCTTCACGGACTAGCCTTGTTTATTTGCATTGCTTATTTTAAGCAAAACCCAGGAGTGCACAATGCACATACAACAAGCTGATACAGCGGAAAGTTATGTATACCTCTATTATGATTCGGTTAAAAGGAATAAAAACAGATAGGATAAAACCCTAGCCCACAATAATACCCGTTCACTGCTCTCACGCTGCTACTCACCAAACTCCCACACTACACACCGAATTTAATTTATGTTACTAAATCCTAAGGATCAGTTCTAGTCCATCCTAGACAACCTTCGGTCTCCGCAGTCCAAAAGTCAGTGTCCTATTCTATAAAACTTGTAACATCTCCTCGCCAGAGGCCTTTCCCAGGCTCCTGCAGTCCGGGTTTTACGACACCTTTTGTGCAGTATTTTAATTGTTTCTAGGGCCCCTTCGCAGGTCAGTATTATTGCAACCAGGGGGCTTACTCTTGAATCCAATTCCGATCGATTGAGATTGACATTGTGAAATTTCGTACTCTTGAGTCGCAACACTAGCGCCCATTGCATCCGTATTGCGTGGATATTGAATGAACTAAATGGTATTGAGTGTGGCTTTATATTCCGTACTCTGAATGCTATTTCAACAGCTACGGTAGGGGTTGTATAGTTTTGACATTGAATCATTATTGAGATTTTATTGGATTGAAATTGCATTGACATTGAGATTGGTTTCAAGAGTAAGCACCCAGATGTGGCGATTCGTATTGTGTTGTGCGCCTAACGGCTCCACGTTATTCTTAAGATCCTTTAGCAAGCTACTACTCAATTTCCCATTAGTTATTTCTAAACGGGTTCCCGTAAATTATAAGATTAAAGGCCTAATGCGTGGCTCATGGGAAAGTCCACAGAAATAATTATATCTGTGGGAAAGTCGATATACGTGTGATGTCTTTTGTTTATGTTTTTAGGGGCACCTGGCGAAGCGTGTCAGTACTCAGTAGTAACCGCAGTATCTGAGCACGCGGAGAATGAATGGAATATTTGTGACGCTACCAGGCTGCACAACGTTAGTCGGAGCACGTCTTGAGCATAAACTAACAATCACAGCTGACCAGTCGCCAAGTGAGTGGACATCACGTGCGCCTGCACGAGGACTCCATTTCTGTCATATTATGCACGTTCACAGTCGATTACTTTGGAAAGAATACCTACCTAATACCTAGGTACGACTTCTTATTTACTTCGTTCTAGAAAACACACACAGGCCCAGATTTATTTTTCTTTAGGAAAATTATCTCTTACCCATAAAAAACGGCTGCGGGGTTACTATATTCTCATTGAATGCTACAACAGAAAATGTATTAAAGTAAATTGTGATTACAGACTTCTACTGTTGTGTCGTAGTGTCGTAGGTCATCTGTCGCATTACACCTCCGCACCGAAGGTTACGGACGTTCTGTTTATACAGCAGGAGGGGAAAGGGAGAGAGGTGCGAGTACTGCCGGACTCTTACCGGCTAAAACTTATTCCTGCTGAGCCAAGGTGCTCCTTGGACGTGATCAGAGACCTTCTTCAACAATTTGTTTTTACCATTTACAATTATCGAAACGATTTTATAAATCATATAATTATGTCGGAACGGTCATTAGTACGGAATTTAAATTCACTACAAACGGACGGAATAACAACAAATTGAATAAAGATGGCGCGCTTCATGCGCTTGAATAGTTAATTGTGACGGCATGTCCGCCTAAGAGTAGGGCAGATTGAGTGACGTTCAACAAGGCACCACAGCACGTACTTGTTATAGACGCAGATAAATAAGCACACACTGGTAGACTCTCGCACCACGGTAGCTCTTCATACTCCTTGCCCCTCCCACATATGGCTTCTGGACCAGTGCCCGTGAGATTGTACGGTTACTGGCCTCTAAGAAGAGTTTGGTGGTCGCCAGTTCCTTTCTTTATAGATTTGCTTGGGCCACTCGGTATAGTCTCGCATTTTTTTGACGCAGGAGTATCTCTTGGGATCTCCTTAACAATACGCTATTGCTGTACTCGCTATTTCATCCCACTTTCTTCTAACCGAGCATTCAGTGCTGAATGTTTTGTGATCCGTCCTCTCGAGTTTGGCGTGTGTGCAGTTGCAACACTGCAGTGTGGATCCAGCGAGCCAGACCGCACATTCGGTCTTTACGTGGGGGCACGTAAAGACCGAATGTGCGGTCACTGTGAGTGACCCCCCACAGTGACTGCATTTTTCCAACGTTTCTGTGCACGGCTTGCGACTATGTCCGTACCCAAGGCAGAGAGAAAACTGGCGAAGCGGGCTCTGATCTTCCGCCCGGACTCGTTGCAGGTTTATGTATACGTGGCCTTTCCTCGTCACTCTCTGCCAGATCGTGGCAGAGGTATTGAGCAGTATATGCCCTGTGTGCGGATTTCTGGCCCTCTTTCCATATTTTATTCCGATCATATCCGCTTCTCCGTCGAGGTCGTGGAAAATATCTGGGTTTTGATTCCTCAGTGCCTTCTTATTTATTATATTCTTAATCTTCCGAACTTTCTCTTAGGTTAGGTTATGTTTTTTTTTTCTGACTACACCGCCAACGGTATTGGCGCCTATTTTAACTCGTCGAGTACCGGTTTTGTAGACACAATTATAGAACAATAGGTTGCGGTCACCGGTGACCGCTTGGTGTTTGACAGTTTAATCTAGTGTCACTTTCATTCCAGTTCTCGCTTATATACCTCTCGCACTTTTATGCTTCATACTGTATCTTTCTTTTATGCATCTCCTTTCACTTTCTTAGCGGGTGGGACTCCCACTTCCCTACTTCTACTTTTGCCTTATTTTTATTCTTTTATTACTTTTGGGGGGTAATAAGGAAGGGTGCTTATTTTTGTTTATTTTCATACTTATACAATATTTCGATTTCTTAATGCTATTGTTTCTTACTCTATTACATTATTGTTTGGACTTATTCTATTACATAGTTCTTATTCTATTTATCTATTTGTCGGAGAAAATGCACCAATTGGGGGTACTTCGTCATCGGATTCCAAGTTAGACATGGTGTAGGTAAGACAATCCTATTCAAAATTAACACAAAGCGGGAAAAAGGGTTCAATGTTCATAGGACCACAAGGTTATACAACACAAAAAAAGGCCAATTGGGAAGAATTCAATAAGAAACTAGTAGAATATCTCAACATAAAAAAAACATAAGTTCGAACAACATTACAATATTCAAAGATAAAAGAGAATTAGAGAGAACAATAATTACATACAGTTACGTTATTCAAAGAGTTTGCAACGAAACCATCCCAAAATTAAAAGAAAAGGAAAAGGAAAACCAAAATATCTCTCGCTCGCAGAGAAGAAAAAAGAGGTCGCTCGCAAGAAAAAAAAAACAAAAAAAAAACCGCATCCGCAACGCTGCTCCAATCCGGAAGGCGAAGGTCGTCGAAGATTACCTGAAAGCTAAAGAAGAATATGAGTGCCAAGCCAAGAAAGCCCAAGTTGCCAGCTGGAAGAAATTTTGTACCAAACAGGACAGAGAAGGGGTATGGGAAGGAATATATAGAGTCATTAGACAGACCACTAGGAGACAGGAAGACTTGACCCTAGCGAGCGATGGTGCATTCCTAAACCCAAAGGAGTCAGCTGCCTTACCCCTCCGACACATTCTACCTGAAGGACACAACACTAACGGATAATGCAGACCACAAACTCACCAGAGACGCAGCCAATCGAGTGAATGGGTGGCAACATGGTGAGTATCACGACCAGCCATTCACGCCCCTGGAATTGAAAATGGCAGCGAGTCGCTTCAATCCCAAAAAGGCACCTGGAGCTGATGGACTTACGGCAGACATATGCAGTCGAGCAATCTACCGGGACCCAGACGCATTCCTTGCCTTATACAACAAGTGCTTAGAACTAGCACACTTCCCAGACATCTGGAAAGAGGCAACAGTGGTAGTTCTTAGAAAACCCGGCAAGGAAGACTACCTGAACCCCAAGTCCTACAGACCAATAGGTCTCCTGCCAGTCTTCGGGAAGGTCCTGGAGACGATGGTAGTAGCACGAATGAAATGGCAACTTGTACCGCGGTTTAGTAATCGCCAGTACGGCTTTATGCCCCAAAGGAGCACCGAGGACGCCCTCTGTATGCTAATAAAACACGCACGGGACAAGTTGAGACTGAAAAAGTTAATTGTCCTGGTGTCGTTGGATATAGAGGGCGCCTTCGATAGCGCATGGTGGCCAGCCATCAAAGCAGACTGGCTGAGGAAAATTGCCCGGTAAATGTAAGGAGGCTACTAGACAACTACCTCGACTGCAGAAAGGTCAAATTAAGGTATGCTGGGGAGGAATGCACCAGGGAAACAAACAAGGGCTGTGTGCAGGGGTCAATCGGAGGTCCTATCCTGTGGAACCTTTTGCTGGATCCATTATTACAAGAACTGGAGAAAAAAAGGAAATACGCGCGGGCCTTTGCAGACGACATTGTCCTGGTTGTGTGTACGGAGACACAGCAGCTGAAGTCTCTAGAGACACTAACGCCGCCCTCGCGCATGTCCAGAACTGGAGAGACAAAAATGAACTAAAATTTGCACCACACAAGACCTGCGCAATGGTAATAACAAAGAGGCTTAAGTACGACACACCAATTCTGAACATGTCAGGGATAAATATCACCATGGTGCGGAGTATGAAACTGCTGGGTCTCATAATAGATGACAGACTGACTTTTAACAAACTTGTAGAACACGTATTTAAAAAAGTCGCCGACATCTACAAGCAGTTAGCGCGGGCAGCTAGGGTCAGCTGGGGTCTACACCGGGACATAATACACACCATCTACACAGCTACAATAGAGCCAATCGTTACTTATGCAGCCAGCGCCTGGGCTCCCGCTACAAAAAAGCTGGGGATACGGAAGAAGCTAGGCAGCATCCAGCGAGGATTCGTCCAGAAGCTTTGCAAGTCTTACCACACGGTCTCTCTAAACTCAGCGCTAGCACTCTCCGGAATACTTCCTCTGGGCTTGCGCATACAGGAGGCAACCGCATTGTATGAAGCAAGGGGAGGGTCATCCCAGTTTGTGCCGGGAGATAGAGAGATTGAGAGGGTGGTGAGATTTGCGGAAACTTCCCACCCTGCCGAACAAATGGATCTAGGGTTCGTGTGCCTCGCAGACCAACAGCTAGTGGACAGCTACAATATGCAAACAGTGAGAATATTCACTGACGGCAGCAAGATTGAGGGGAAAGTTGGAGCCGCATTATCCATTTGGGATAATGAAGGCGAAACCCAGAATCTCAAGCTTAGCCTCGCCAGGTATTGCACTGTCTACCAGGCGGAACTTCTGGTCATTTGCAAGGCAACCGACGTCATCCTCCAACGCAATGAGACGAGCTATGGCTTGTATAGCGACTCAATGTCCGCACTGCAGTCGCTGACAAGTCATGGCTCGCTCCATCCCCTGGCAGTACGCGCGAGGACCAATTTGGCTTTGGCATCGAGTCAGAGCAAAGCTGTCGCCTTGTTCTGGCTCAAGGCCGCAGGGCAGCCGGGGAATGAGCGGGCGGATGAGCTGGCTAAGGAGGCATCATTGGGGTTGCGGAGGAGGTCAGACTACGACCTGTGTCCGATTTCATTCATCAGGCGACAGACCCGTATGGATTCGCTCGGTGAGTGGAATCGGAGATATGTGTCGGGCGAGACCGCCTCGGTAACGAAGATGTTTCTTCCGGATGCTATTGTGGCTTTCCGTATTATAAGACAGGTGCGGCCAACAGGCGTGCTCACAAAAATCATGACGGGACACGGTGGTTTCTCCGAATACCTGCACCGATTCGGGTGTAAGGAGAACCCAGCGTGCAACTGTGACGAAAAGGAGACTGTTCCGCATCTGATCCTGCACTGTCCTATATACGCCTTTGAAAGACTTAGGGCGGAGCGGGAACTGGATGTGGAAATAATTAGTGAAAACATAGGTCTAATTATGAAAAGTAAAAACAGAAATACATTCCTAACCTATTGCGTAAATATAGCTGAAAAGGTGATTAAAAAGAATAAGACATTGAAAAACCATGCTTTGTATTATCAATACATAGTATAAAACAAAGTCGCTTTCGCTGTATGTCCGTATGTATGCTTAGATCTTTAAAACTACGCAACGGATTTTGATGCGGTTTTTTTCAATAGATAGAGTGATTCTTAAGGAAGGTTTGTATGTATAATACATGCATATTGCACCCGTGCGAAGCCGGGGCGGGTCGCTAGTATTGTAATATAAAAACTAAAGCATGGGACATTTGATAGTTAAGAAAAGTATATTAAGCAAGCATTAGAATAAGGATAGCCAAGTTAAGTATTAAACAATTAAATATGTCGCAGAATCAACAAAGATGCACAGCTATCGAGTATCGTTATTTTAGAACATCGCCATCTGTTATCATTTGTCGGAAACGTCAAGCAGTGTGCTTGGGTGATGGTCGGTACGGGGCGTGGCATGTTGGCATTTGAAAGGCGTCACTTTTGAGTTGGACACGAGGGTGAGCGGTTGTTCGGCCAGCCCGTACCGAACTTACCGCGTTTCCGAAGGTAATCTGTTTCCATCGCTTTAATCTATTAAGATTTTGTTAATTTATTATTGGGAATGTGTTAATAGACGATTATAATCAGTGTTGAGACTATTATTTCTTACCTACACCATGTCTAACTTGGAATCCGATGACGAAGTACCCCCAATTGGTGCATTTTCTCCGACA